CACCGGGCCGGAGTTAGCCACCGAAACGCCGATTCTCTTTCCAGACGGCCATGCCCAGCAGAGTGTTCTCACTGCAACAAAACGGAATCCAAGGAAGCAGCAGTGCTAAGAACGACGGTGGTCCACGACGACTGGACGCCTACCAAGATCAGGGAAGAACAAGAGAGAGATCCAGTTGTACAGAAAATCCGAAAATGGAAAGAGGAAAACCGTCGACCACCTTGGCAAGAAATATCGAACCTAGGCTCAATAGTTAAGACGTATTGGGCCCAGTGGGACTCATTTATCATGGAAGATGGCTTGCTCAAACGAGTCCTGGAAAATGATGACGGTTCAGAGAAGAGAAGACAGTTGGTAATTCCAAAGAGCAGAATAGCCGAAGTACTTCGTCAGTTACACGACAGTCCATCAGGAGGGCATTTTGGTGTGAAAAAGACCCTTCAGCGAATTCGGGAACGGTTTTATTGGATGAACAGTTCCGACGATGTAAAAGACTGGTGTAAGAAATGTACTATTTGTGCTACGAGTAACGGGCCTTATCGAAAAAGGAGAGCTCCTATGAGACAATATAATGTTGGAAGCCCGTTTGAAAGAATAGCTTTGGACATTGCTGGGCCGTTTCCAGAAAGTGATAATGGAGGCAAGTACATGTTGGTAGTAATGGATTACTTCACTAAGTGGGTCGAGATTTACGCACTTCCAGACCAGAAGGCGGCCACCGTTGCAGATAAGTTGATCCAAGAATATATCAGCCGATTTGGAGTGCCTTTGGAGATCCATAGTGACCAAGGCAGGAACTTCGAAAGCGATTTATTCCAAGGAATATGTGATAGACTAGGTATGAAGAAAACAAGGACTACGGCTTATCATCCGCAATCGGATGGTATGGTAGAACGAATGAATAGAACAGTTGGCAAGTATTTGACAAAGATGGTGTCCGATCATCAGCGAGACTGGGACCAATATCTCCCGTTTTTCACAATGGCCTACAGATCTGCTGTTAATGAATCAACAGGCCAGACACCAGCCAAAGTCCTATTCGGACGCGAGATGCGACTACCTTGTGATCTAGAGTTTGGGTGTCGACCTGGAGAAGATGTAGCAGGTGAAGATTATGTGATCGAATTACGAAGAAGAATGGACAATGTTCACGAGTTGGTCCGTTCCCATCTCCAGATCGCTAGTGACCGAATGAAGAAACGGTACGATACGCAAGCCGAAAAGGGGTGTTTTAAGAAGAACGATAAAGTCTGGCTTTATAACCCCAAAAAGCGAAAAGGTTGTTCTCCCAAATTGCAGCAGTTTTGGGAAGGTCCATACCTCATTATGGAGAAGATCAATGATGTTATTTACCGAATAAGCAAGATTCCGAGGGGAAAGCCGATGATAGTACACCATAACCGGCTGGCGTCTTTCGAAGGTGACCACGACGTAGATGAAGAAGTGGAAGTAAACCAAGTCCAAGATGTGTCTGACCTCACGTTTAAGGAATTCATGGGTGCCTATGGAGGTACCGGTAAAGCAAGACATGGTGTTACCACTGAAGAAAAGCAAGATCTACTCGCGCTTCCCGATGACTACTCACTGGCCCTTACCATCCCGGCCAGTATCAAAGACGCACCAGGGTTGGCATCCGTCTTTCGAAGGAAGTTCGGTCGAGTTGCAGAACTTCAATGCCAAGTGCCAGCTCCTGGAAAAGCCTTAAAACTTCAAGATGCATCACGTTACCTTTTCTACCTGGTAACAAAAGACACTGCCCGTGATCAACCTACCTACCGAGATGTATGGGAAGCCTTACTTCAGTTGAGAGAGCACGTACTAGAGTCCGACGTGCAAAAGTTAGCCATGCCAAAGTTGGAGTGCCGCCAATTAGATTGGAGGGTTATACGAAACATGGTGGAGGAAATCTTTAAAGACACCGAAGTCCAGGTGTTAGTCTGTTGCAATCCGCATAGTTACTGGTGCGGAGAGAAAACCGTCCCTTGTCATTTCTATACAACTGGAAGTTGTAAAAGAGGGTCCAGTTGCCGATATCAGCATGTCGTTCCAGTTCCAGTCCCGACAAGGTTCCAGGAGGAACCATCTTTTAAGAGGGGGGCAATGTTACGATTTTAAATGTTATGGCATATAGAACTGTAAATATTTTATGACTAATTCTTTTATTGATTCTCGTAATTTCTAGGTCAAAAATCTACCTGAATCGAATGTTCTGGGGGCGACAAGCCGATAAAAAAAACATGTTTTGAGACCAGTCGCCGCTGTGTCTACATCGAGAACAGCATGGTATGTTCTACACCTTTCTGTTTACCGGCTTGGAATTATATAAATAAGGGAATACTTTCATTGAGGAACCAGTCATAAGAAGATCGGTAAACGCGGTTTTACTTGTAACGAAACGAAAATAAATTATTTGTAATATAAATTAGAATTAATAAAGACTTTAATAAATTCGTAATTAGTTATCGTGAGTTTTAATAAATTAGAATATAGACAATAAATTAGAATAAAGACAAATAAATTAGAACAATAAAAAAAGACGTAACAAAGTTATAAAAAATATTTAATACACACTTCTCCAAGAAATTAACGCACCACTTCAATAAATCAATTTTATTTGTAAACAGCAAGAATAAAAAATAAAACTTCACCAGATTTATTCTACATTTTATTAGTAATTATAACAATTTGTCTAATCATCAGAAAATGTTGAAGTACAGGAGAAAAAAAAACGGAATAAGAAAAGTAAACTAAAATATGAAAAAAGTCTTAATATTGAGTGTTTACACCTCTACTACGTATAGTAGAATTACATCGTTGGCCCATACTTAAAATTAATTGCCGTATTTTATTTTGGTCTAGTTCTCTCCAAATCTGGATCAGCCTCTCTCCCCATTCCTGTAAGTTGTTTGGTTGGATCGGTGTCGCTCTTAATCGCCTACCAAGGATATCCCAGAGATTTTCAATCGGATTTAAATCCGGACTATGTGCTGGCCATTCCATAGTGTTAATTTCTACCTCTTCTAGATCATTTCTGACGATTTGTGCAGCGTGAGGTCTGGCATTATCTTGCATTAGTAAGAAATTTTCACCGCTATAAGGAGTGAGTGGTACTACATGTTGCTCTAGGATCTCCAATATGTAACTTTCAGCTGTAACAGTTTTATTTTATATGACCACTAGGTCCATACGTGCGGTCAAAGAAATACCACCCCACACCATAACGGATCCTCCACCAAAAAATGTGGTGTGAGAAGTAACAGTGAGCGAAACAAACAAAATCGGGATTCATTAGTAAATGTCACTCATTCGTAGTCAGCCTCTAACCAATTACCGTGTTCTCTGGTAAAATGTAGTCTACCCCTTCGATCCTCTGCTGTTAATAGAGGACCTCGGGCGGCAATCCTAGGTGTTAAGTTGCATTCCCTAAGTCGCTGGCGAACAGTTTCAGTACTAATTTGTATAGCATGCACGTCTCGAAGCTGAATTTGTAGACTTTAATGTTTCGTACTTGCCCTGGTCTGCGAGTATGATTCCCTGTTTCTAGGAATTTTTCTAACACCCGTAAAACGGATGTGTGGGACACATTAAACTGACGACCAATTCTTTGGTAACTCCAACCTGCTTCCGACAGTATCACTGCTTGGGTACATTTATCTCGGGTTAAATTACGTGATTGACGCTCCATAATAAACACAATTATCAATAATCAACAATTAAACAGTAGCCGAATAAAATTCGTGATCACTTGGAAATTAGTATATTTATAGAATTTGTACATTTTTTGCTTTTTTTTTGCTTTGTTGTATAAAAAACTATAGCGATAAAACACACTCAATAAATATAGAGTGTACGAATAGAATATACAAGGGGCTTGCAAAATATGGCAATTACAATGGCAATTTTTATTAACGCTAATAAAATATTTTAATATTTCAAAGTGGTGCGTTGGAAAAGTATATCAGATCAAGCATTGAAAAGCGGAACTTAGTGGAGAAATCTATATAATATAATTCAAAAAATCAGCCTACATGTACTTCGTCAATTTAGAAAAGGTATTCGACAGACAGTGACTATCAGACGCTATAAATCGACTATATAATACAAGAGTTCTATGGGATATCACAAAACTGAAATTACATGTATGCGTAAGAAACAAAACTAAAGTAAATATTTAGGCAAAAACAAGAGATTACATGGAAATAACAACTTTAAAAATAGAAAGACTTATTTATTATAATATTATTCATCCTTATTGGATGAGGTCATAAAATAAGTAAAAATGAAATAAGGATATCAAATTAAAAGGAAAAAAATAAAAATAATATGTTATGCAGATGACTCAATCCTGATAACAAGGGATAAAGATGACTTATAGAGTGTTCTACATTACTTCAACTTGGAACTAAGTCCAATAATTGCCAATATTCTCATGGAAAACTTTGAGACCAGAGCACTATCCACATTAATATTTAATATGATTCAGATGTGTCTTTTCAGACCCATCTGATTGGTATACATCCTAGTATCCAGTTCACGATGGAGGTGGAACTGATTTATCCCTACCATTTCTCTACGTTATCGTAAAGAAAAACCAATGCCAAGGTTTTCATTACTCTGCTTAACTAAAACCCAACCATACCAATCGTTACTGGCATGTCAACTCTCATCATCCGCCTTCACAAATTAATTCAGTCATTAATACCCTTGATTCCAGATTAATACGACTTTACGATAATGCAAGTAGGCCCGCTGTTCAAGTCGTCAAGATGTCCAAAACTTTACGGCCTACCCAAGATACATAATGTAGGATTGCCATTGCGGCCAATAATTAGTTCTATCGAATCTCCCCTACAACCACTGGCAAAATTTCTGACTGAACAACTACAACCATATAATTTTACGTCAAACATTTAAAAAATATAATCCATTAAATAAACTGTATATAATAATTATTTAACTAATAATCGTTCGTTAAACATAATGGTTTTTATTTGTTGTAGATTATTCGGTACAACAGGATATTGTGCAGCGTGTAATAAAATTATACCAGCATTTGAAATGGTCATGAGAGCAAAAAATAATGTGTATCATTTAGAGTGCTTCGCATGCCAGCAGTGTAATCATAGGTAAGTAATCGTAAAAGAATAAACAATACTCACTTAACTGCATAACTGATAGTTTTAACATAGAAAATATAACAGTTTGATTATTATAACAGTGATATTTAAGTGTATAAGTAAATACTAGTTTTACTCTACTCCGTATTAAGCGATATTCGTCCAAAATATTTCTTAATTACGATCGCCTAAAATAATTTGATTGTGTTTTAAAACATTTTCAATTAAATCAATATGCGTTTTCATTTATGTTTGATCCAATTTTCGAAGCACTTTCCTTATTCTAAACGAGGGAACTACAAAACATGCTTAAACGCATCCACCGTTTTTATCGGTCAAAAACGTTGACCTCGCAATGTGTGTTTAAAAAAAGTTTATTAAAAAGAAATTTGGTGCAAAATAAATGTTAAATAGCAAATGCGCATCAATTTCTTGTTTTGTTTTTTTTTTTTGTTTTCTTGAAAAATCCTCTTGTTTCAGCTCGCAATCGCAATATATCGCTTATGCATTAGTTTAACGTCTTATTTCTTTCGAAGAATCAGACGTCCATCTACTTCTAAGTGCTTTGTTCGCGAACAAAGAACATTTTTTGAATTGATACGAGACTTTTTTGAATGTCAAATTGTGCGATAATTAAAGCAAATATTTTAAGGTAAAAATATACTTCCAATGGCACTTCAGCCCAAATTAAACCTTGACCTCCTATAATTTCTGCCCAAAACACTGGATATAACACGTAGCTCCTCCTTGTTTGCTACCTCTTCATTATCTTTTGGTGTTCTACCCTTTATTGTATTGTTTAGGCTACTCTTATTATCTTTCTTTTTACATCGTCATTACATTACCAGGCCATCCAAGTCTTTGGAGTGTAGCGATTTATGAGGTGTTTCTTTAAAACGTTGGTAATTGTATCTGAATGTCCACATCCAAAAACTTCTAACTTTATTTTTTATTTGCTGTCACCACCAGTGCCATGCATCCATAACATACTATCATCTAATATTCCACTGCTACACGTCGGTTTATAACGTTCTTCGTGGCTTTCCGACTATTTCGACATTGGTTGGTAATCCTTATTCTTCCAGAGCTTACCGCAGCTCTTCTCTAAAAATCCATTAACGTTGTTCTCGGCGTTGCCTATGTTCTTTATTTCAGTGGCCAAACCTTTATAGAGTGATAATTTTCACTATAATCTCATATATCCTCGTTGATCCTCGCTGATCGATTAGTTCCATAAAATACTGTTTCACATTGTAATAGCTGTTCTACCTGCTGTATTTCTTTCTCTTATGGCTTTGTCTAATGTCCTATCGTTGCAACTAATGATACATAGATATTTGTACTTATAGAGGTGCTTTATCTTGGTTCTGTCATCTAGTACGAGATCTTTTTGGTTGCCCTCCAATGCACAAGTATTCAGTTTTCTTTGTATTGACCTTCTACACACTACAAAGTTGAACTAGAAAGAAAAAAATGTTTGTTAACTCACCAAATAAAATTATTTTGGTATATAAAAATGCTGCTAACATATTTCAAAAAATTTTTATCCTAGTAGTGTTTTATCCTAGTCAGTCGTCGATCCAGGTGCATGCCGAAGTATTTGGCGCTATCACGTTGTGAAATTTGACAACCAATAAATTGAACAGATGGTCACATTTTCCTGCGGAGATTGATTTGTGAAGTGTGTTGATTTCAATCTATTTGCTTTAATACGCCATCTTTTTAGCCTGTTTTTTACCTTGTTTTACGCCAAAATGGCTTTATCATCAGCAAATGTCGCAACAGTAGTAAGTCGTGTTGATGTTAAGTAGGTAAGTCGTGTTGATGGCACGTCTGTAGTATACAATAAGTACAGGATCGGTCCAAACACGCTACCTTGTGGAACTTCTGAATTTATTGGATGTAACTCTGTATATTCATAATCTTCCATATGCATATAAGGAAGATTATTAAAATCTTAGAAGAGAATGTTTAGAAGAGAAAAGAAAGAACAATACGAACACGCTTCAAACGAAATTGTTAACCACCACAATGAAAAAGACTGACGAAAATTCTACCAACAGATAAACAGCCGCAGAAAAGAATTCAAACCCAGAATAATAGCCTGTAAAAATAGGGACGGTTCCATAATTAGTAACAAAGAACAGATACTAAACAGATGGGCGGACCATTTTGAAGAACTGCTTAGCGGCAATCACGAAGATGGCGAGATTGAGGATCCCATGTTTCAAATGAATGAAGATGACCGGCAACCACCCCCACCGAAGAAGAAATTAAAGAAGCCATCGCAACACTGAAAAATAATAAAGCTCCCGGTTCGGATAATCTCCCTGCCGAACTTTTCAAAAATGGCGGCGACCCCCTCATGAAACACATGCATAAACTGATAACTGCAATTTTTCAACAGAAAGAAACACCCACAGACTGGAAGTTAGGTGTACCGTGTCCTATGCACAAAAAGGGAGACATGATGGTGTGTGATAATTATAGAGGCATCACTCTACTCAATATGACATATAAAGTGTTGTCCAACGTATTGTACAAAAGACTCCTCCCCTACGCCGAACAAATAGTGGGAGGGTATCAGTGCGGTTTCCGTCCTCTTAAATCAACAACGGACCAGATATTTACAGTGAGGCAGATCCTTGAAAAAACCCTAGAGTTAGGCGTCGACATCTACTACATATTTGTTGACTTCAAAGCCGCATACGACTCCGTTAATAGAAATAAACTTCTACTTGCTATAGTAGAATTTCGCATTCCGTTTGATCTTATCCGGTTAACTGAACTTACACTCACAGGTGCAGAGAGCATGGTAAAAATCCAAAACGATCTCCCAAGACCCTTCCATTGCAAAAATGGACTAAGACAGGGTGATGGACTATTGTGTCTCTTATTTAACCTGGCATTAGAAAAAAGATTTTGAGAGTCGCAGATTACTACGAATGGTACTATCTTTAACAAATCAGTAAAAAATATCGGATACGCAAATGACAGAGACATCATAGGTAGGTCCACAGAATCTCTGACTGAAGCATTTCGGTCGTTAAGAGCATCTGCACACAGAATGGGATTCAATATAAATGTTCAAAAGACCAAATATATGTGTTGCACTAGGTTAAGCAACCCGACACCTACACGAATAATAATTGATGACCTAGAACTGTAAGGTGTTGACGCCTTTATATACTTAGGGTCGCTGCTAACCAAAGATAACAATGTCAGTGAAGAAATCAAAAGAAAAATAGTGCTCGCCAATAAGTGTTACTATGGCTTAAGAAGACAGATGGCCTCAAAAATGCCTAGAAAAATTAAACTGACTATACAAAACACTAATAAGACCAGTGCTAACATATGGTTCAGAAACTTGGACACTAACACAGAATGACCAAAAATTGCTCAAACGTTTGGAGCGAAAAATACTAAGACGAATATATGGAGGCATAAAAGAACAAGGTTTGTGGCGCAGATGGATAGGTCATGTAATCCGACGAGAGGAAGATGCCATAGTCAGAAAAGTTTTTGACCGAAGAGGGCCGATCAGACAACGAAGAAGAGGAAGACCTAGACTTAGGTACCTAGAAAATAATTTGAAGTCTATCGGTATTAGAGCATGGAGAAGAGTTGCCAGAGACAGGGGCGAATGCAGGATTGTTCTGAATAAGGCTTTGGCTCATAAAGAGCTGTAACGCCACTGATGATGAACTCTGTATATTCACTTTCATGTTTTATTTGGAAGTGCATACTGTCAGACATGATTTTAGAACTTTAAAGTGCGAATGGAGCAGTAGCTTCTTTAGGTTTACTTGCAATCCTTTATGCCACACCTTGTCGAAATCCTTAGATATATCAAGAAAAGCTGCTGAACAATATCTTTTATTATTCAGGTCCGTATTGATTTGAAATTTTTATTAAAAACATTTTATGTTTTGTACATGTTATATTTGCCACATCAATAAACCCAGAGTCCTTAGGACTAACAAAATGTATCGTTTTTAATTTAGAAAAAATTTATTTGCCTTTTACCTATTGGTTTGTACATCGATTCGAGATAAATCTGCCTATTTCTTTCCGTTTATTCTAAATGTGTTAATTTCACGTTAAGTTATACTTTGGGATTCCATGATATCTGGTTTTTGACAACTTAAAAATTGTTGCATGAAGACAGAAAAATAATGACTATAAGTATTTACGGCAGATTTTCATAATAAATATTTTACATAGGAGAGTGTAGTCATTTTTTTTATTGGACCTCCTTCTTGTTTATTGGAGAGTGTTGATCACTATGATAAATCTCTCTCTATCATTTCAATTCTAAACAATCCGTTAGCTCCCATGTTTTCCATTTCCTAACATTTTTAAGCCTGGATATTTTGCGTCTCCCAAAGTCTTCCGACTTCCTCTCCCGTTCTTCGTTTATGTATATGATTGAGTATTCCAAGAAATATTTAGTATTCCCCTGTATAATTAAAGTAGAGTCATCAGTGTTAATGTTAGGGCCCGTGTAGTTTTCAGGAGACCTTACAGAATATTTTTCTCATTGTGTTGGATGTAGGTTATCGTTATCCTATTTAATATTTGAAAAATAAAAGTCTGTTGCAGACCTTACTGAAAATAATAATGATCCAAGAAACACATTTTTTGTTTGTTTAATATATACCCATGGACAAAAATATCGAATATCTTAAAATTTTCTATTTTTTTTTTTGTTTGAAAATAAATTCTGCTCTATCAAGTCGTATATTATACAGAAGAGTTTAATTTAACAATGTTGAATAAACAATTTTAAGTTTTTGTGTGAAGAAAATTGCGAAAAAAATAATGCTAATAAGTTTTTTAACTGCAATAATTTCATGATAAATAACGAGTATTGGGGAATTGCATTCCATTCATCCTATGCAGCGAGCCAAAGCTGCTTTATCGTATTTGAAACGAGATTTATTTGTCGTATGCGGTATTTTAGCTGATCCCAAATGTACTCTATTGGATTTAAATCCTGACTAAATCGTGGCCAATCCAATCTTCCAATTTGGACATCATCAATATAATTACTCACTATGGCAGCGGCATGTAGTCGACTATTATCGTGCATTAACATGAATCTGTCATATGCCATTTTACCAACATATGGCAAAACATGATCTTACAGGATGTTTTGAATATAAGAGTCACCAGTCATCCATCCAATCATTTTCAAAAGTACGGTGGATCCCTCTTAACTAGTACCTCAATAAAGCATTATTCCACCACCTCCAAAACTAATGATCTAAGCGAGACAAAAAATGGTTATCAATTACGGTTGTGAATATTGGGTATACTTGACCAGGCTTTACCTAGTATAAAATTTCCTGTCACGTGGTACCTCTTTAAAGTATTCGAAACTGTAGATTGACTTCTCCTGAAACGTCGCGCGATATATTTTTGTATATAGGTTTTAGTATGGTTTTGTATAAATTGATTTTCTTTTGGATGGTAGTTTTTGATTTTCACATTAGAAGCGAATAGATTGGCCGGAATTTTAAGTCGAGTTGACTTGTTTTCTCTATATGTTTGAATATATTTATTTGGTGTATTCCAAATGAAGCTTTGACCAAGATGGAAGCCAAAATATTTTGCCTCTGTTACTGTTAGTAGACGTATATTACCCATTCTTACAGGTGGGCACGTTTTGTGACGTTTGGTAAATGTTATTTGGTTTTATTGTCCCTTGTTTCAGCTACAGCTAGTATCGGTACGTCGTCAACAAAGAAAGCGATTGTAGTATTATTAAACTCTGGTATATCGTCTGTATATTGCGAGAAAAGCTGCTGCCAGAGAATACTTCCTTGTGGGACTCCAGCTTTCATATAGCAAAAGTTGGATTGTTGATCGTTAAATTTAACGGAGAAGTCTCTATTTGATATGTAATATTTGAGTAGGAGAAAAGAGTTACTGGTTAATATGTTTGTAAGTTGTACAGCAAGCCTCTGTGAAATCATTTGTCAAATGCATGAGAAATGTCCGGGAATAAAGCGTTGTAGTATTTCTTTTCTTAAAGACTTTTTGATATTTCATTTGTCATTCGATTTACTTGTTAGGTAGTGGAGTGATTTTCTCGAAAACTAAACTGATGTTTTAGTAGTAATGTAAGGAATTCATGATCTGCGCTTATTCTTTATAGTAGTAATCTTTAAAAAACTTTGCTTACGGTAAGTAGCAGGCTGATGGCTATTTTCCTGTCTTATGGATCATGATTATTTCAGCGAATTTTCATATTCTTGGAAAGTATGATAAGCTAAACATGAGGTTAACTATAATTGTTAAAAAAGTAATAGTCTTGCAAAGAGAATTTTTAGCATTTGATCCGAGATTAAGTCAAAACCTGGTGCCTTTTCTTTTTTGACTTCTGTACAAGTAAAACTTTTGATAGAAAGAGACATTTGGCATACTGTGTTAATTAGATCTTCCACTACTTCATTATAGTACCTGGTAGTTTGGTTTGAAATACTCTTGTTAGAAGAAAAACATAAATTAATATATGATATGCACACAAGAGTCTTCAACAGTTATTAATGGCTTTACTCATGCTCGTTCTTAAAATTGAGTGATATTTTAAAAGCCTGGAAGTTATTTCGGTGTGTTAAAAACTCTATAAACTAAATTACTTTTATTTTTAAATGTCATAAACTTATATATTTTATTAATATACTTATACCTTATGTATATTTCTTTTAGGTTTTGCGTGGGAGACCGATTTTATTTATGTGAAAATAAAATACTATGTGAATACGATTACGAAGAAAGACTAGTTTTTGCAAATATGGCGTATAATCCAAGCAGTTTGGCTCATATCAGGCGACAAGTTAATAACTTACAGGTATGAATAATTTAATATATAGATTAAGTTAAGAGATCACGCAATCATTTTACACTGTTTGAGTTTTAGTTTGTGACATAGTTCTTAGTGACCACAGGGGAATGGGAAAACAATTAAAACAGCGACAATCTGAGAGTCAGGCGAGAACGTATTGCATAACTAATAAGAATAATAAAGGTTAATAAATATAACAAGCTATAATGTTGATATCGCTGGTTTATACACAAATCTTTTTTCAAAATTAATTATATAAAACAATGTCTGTGCCTTCTTACATGCGTGTGTGCATAAGCAATATATATATATATATATATATATATATATATATATATATATATATATATATATATATATATATATATATAATATAAAATTAATGTTTCTTGGGTTTAGGTTCAATAAAGATATGTTACATGTGGAACTAGATTTTATTTTCCATTGCAATCAATCAACGTTTCGGCAGGAAACTCTTGCCTTTGTCAAGATTCTAAAATGTGTATATATATATATATATATAAGGACAAACAGATATTTTAAAATATGTATATATATATATGACTTACCAAAACGTAAAACGTGACACAGACAGACATTAACGAACTGACATATAAAAGTTGATATCTGATATCTCATTGTTTACTGTCATTAGTATATAATTATTTTTATATGAGCGTATCGTTAATGTTTTCGAAAAAGGTAAGGTGGAGATATGTTATGACTTTAAGAGCTTTTTATGATGTTATATTATTATTGTTTAAATCAGATTGAAATATATTTTATTTAGGTTTTGTGTATCTTTTTTGTCATTTATTGCGTTGGTGTTTCTTTTTATTTCTATTGATTCGTATATCTCCCTCTTCTTTTTGTTTTTTTCTGTTTTTAAAATTCTGATGTTTTCAAAATCAAATTTATGCTTCTTCCCGCTTTCATGTTTTGTGAGCGCAGTGACGTTGTTCTTGTCGTATTTGTGAGAACGAATTCTGGATTGAAGCAGTTGACTGGTTTGACCGATATAGACACCTTCACAGTTTGTACATGGTATCTCGTAAACAACATGTGATATTTTAAGTTTTGGAGTTTGTGTTTTTAGTTTTGTGAAATATTTATTTAAGAGATTGTTGCCTTTGTGGGCCACTGTTATGTTATGTTTGGCTAAAAGATTGGTTAGTTGTTCAGATAAACCTTTTATATATGGAAGAGTTGTATAAGTGGTTTTGATACTGTTTAGTTTGTTGTTAGTTGTATTGTTATAAAATTTATTGAGTCTTGATTTGAAAATAGTTTCGATTAGATGTTCGGGATATGCATTCTTTAGGAGGGCATTTTTTGCTTTTTTTATGTGTTTTCGAATGTTTTCGAAAACATTAACGATACGCTCATATAAAAATAATTATATACTAATGACAGTAAACAATGAGATATCAGATATCAACTTTTATATGTCAGTTCGTTAATGTCTGTGTCACGTTTTACGTTTTGGTAAGTCATATATATACACATATTTTAAAATATCTGTTTGTCCTTATATATATACACATTTTAGAATCTTGACAAAGGCAAGGGTTTCCTGCCGAAACGTTGATTGATTGCAATGGAAAATAAAATCTAGTTCCACATGTAACATATCTTTATTGAACCTAAACCCAAGAAACATTAATTTTATATTAAATATAATACGGTTCAAGAAACTCAAAACTACTATATATGTATATATATATATATATATATATATATATATATATATATATATAATATATATATATAACATATATATATATATATTATATGTATAATATAATATATATACATATTATATATATAATATATAATATATATATATATATACAGTGTGTGTGTCTGTGTTCCATCTGTTCCAACGAAACTAACCGCCCCTCCCCCCCCCCCAGGAACTCAGAAACCCATTGTTTCTTCAAAACTTAAAAAACACGTCAATTTGTATTGGGAGGGGGACGAATTTTCATGCAAAATTCATTCTCTCAAATGTAACCTCCTACAGCCCCGCATCAGCCACCAGTTTTTTTAAATAGCAAGTGTGGTCGAGAGGCACATCATTTGAAAGGTATTTTTTATCTCTACAAGACACTCTATTTTTTTTTAATTTTCGGAAGAACTTTAAAAGATAATTTTGGATTTAACTAATTTATTGGTTGAACACAGTAATAATAAAAAACATAAAATTTCATCACATTAGCCAATTAAATGTACCAAAAGACCTTCTGTCATAATTCTTTGTCCCAACTCTGCAAGACTTGCAGGCGGAGGGGTGTATATTTTTGATTTTAGGTATCCCCACAAAAGAAATCCAAAGGCGAAAGATCCGGTGATCAGGCAGGCCTCTCTATTGGACCCCTTCTGCCAATCCAAGGCCCTCGAAAACGTTGATTCAAAAATTGTCTTACGCGTATATTAGAATGTGGGGGTGCTCCGTCCTGTTGGAAAGTGATCTTAAAGATTCCAATATGTGATGAGCGGTGATCCAATTAGTGATAAGCTGATCAATAACGTCTTCTAACAAATTTAAATAAGGTGTTCCGTTGAGTCAAATCTGTATGTGAACCAAATGAGAATTGAACATGAGAATGTCACCTTTTTGTGCATTATGGTTAATATTGCATTTTTCCATTGGAAGGGGGTTACGCCTCTTGTCAAACAAACTTGGAACATTAGGAAAATAAAGACAAATACACAACTACTTGGGAACTATTATCAATGAGTCGTGGGACAATACCCAAGAGATTATATGTCACATCAGAAAGGCAAAGAGTGCATTCTTGACTATGAGTTCTGTGTTCAAGAGCCATGATCTCACCCTAGAAACAAAAATAAGGCTCCTTAAATGTGCTTCTGTACTGAGTAAAAACGTGGACATTGAAGGCGGAAACTCTAAAACTTCAGGCTTTTGAGCTATGGTCATACAAAAGGATCTTGAAGATACCATGGACAGATAAAGTCACCAATGAAGAAGTACTGCGGAGGATGAACACACCTGCGGAATTGGTCAACATCGTGAAGGGCAGTAAGCTGCAGTACTTGGGACATATAATGAGAAATCAAGGCAAATACGAGCTACTTCAATGCATTTTACAAGGTAAAATTGAAGGAAAAAGGATCTTTTCCGATATTTTTATTTCTCCATATTGTTTCATTTAGGCATCCTGCGGCTCTGTTTGCTTTACTTGATCTTCCACTTCGATTTCGGGCTTTCCGTAGCTAGATAATGTGACGCCTAGATATTTAAACTGCATCACTTGTTCTATTATCTGATCTTCCAGCTCCAATTTACATCTTAGTAAATATTTACATCCTCCAATATAAAAATAAATGCATTTTGTCTTTTTTGGGGAAATTAACATGTTAAATTTTCTGGTGGTTATATTAAATTGGTGCAACATACGTTGTAAATCATCTTCACTTTGAGAGAGTAGTATTACGTCGTCTGCATAGCAGATTATTTTAAGTTGTTTTTCTCTCATTTGGTATCCTTTTTAATTCTTACTTTTTTTATTATTTCATCCATACTCAGGTTGAACAATAGAGGACTGAATGAATCTTCCTGTCTTACCCCATTCCTAGCCTCAATAGGGTCGGTTGGTGCTTCTTCTCTTTTGGGTTTTAATGTGTTGTTTTGGTAGATATTTTCGATCGTTTTGATTATTCCTAGAGCTTTTAATTTGATCCTGTCAAATGCTTTTGTAAGGTCTACGAAGCGTAGATATGCCGTTTTGTTGTATTCTAATAATTTCTCTTGCACTTGTTTTATTATAAATATAGCGTCGGTGCATGATCTTCCCGACCTAAAACATTGTTGTTCTTCTGCTAGTATTATCATTTCATTCAATTTATTTGTTTGGTTGTTAATTTTAGTGTTGTGTTTAATAAATTAATTCCTCTGTAATTTTCCGGGTCCGATTTATCTCCCTTTTTGAAGAGAGGTATTAAGATGCCTAATCTCCATTCTTGAGGAATTTTGTTTTGTTCTATTATTTTTTGGATTAGTTTTAATAGTTGTTTGGTTAGATCTGGTCCTCCGTATTTTAGAAGTTCGTTCGGTATTCTGTCCTTTCCTGGTGATTTTCTATTTTTTTATTTTCTTAATGCTTCCTTTGCCTCTTCCTCCCCAATATTTATTTCTTGGTTAGTCGTCACCTCTGGTGTTGGTGGTTCATTATCGTCACCTTTAGCAAATAGGGATCGAAACTAGTCTACCCATGTTTCTTCAGAATGTGTTTCGTTTTTATTAGTTCGTTCATTTTTTTTCTTTGTCCTCTGATCATTTTTGATTCATTTATAGTGGTTGTAAACCTGTTATGTTTGTTGTGTTCTGTATTATACAAAGGCTTTCTTTTTTCTTCACATTTTGTCTTCATTTCCTCTTTAAACCATGGTGTTTTCTTTTTTGATATGTTAGTGTTCGTTACTTTCTTATCTCCAAGTGATTCTGTTGCTCTGTTAATTATATTATTTTTGAGTTTTTCCCAACTTTCTTCGATGTTATGGTTTTCTAATATTTCATTCCCAGCGATTTTCTCTGATATTATTTTCCTGTATAAGTATTCCGTGGATTTAGTCCTTTGACTTTGATTTTTGTTTGTATAAAAACATATCATAAGGTGTTAATATTCCATATAGTAATTTTTGCACCTTTGCACAATTCGTTAAATAAAACACAAAAATTAACTTACATTAAATTCTCTTTGTATATCAAGTGAATTGGCAAAAAAAGGTAAAAAAATGTTATCTAAAGTTTTTTTGATTGAAAGTGGTTCACGAAATAAACATAAATTAAACAGCTGAAAAGTTCCTTAGATGATTTGGGGGTTGAAAGGGGGAGAAAAAAATAAAAGAAAGGGAGTTATTTTTTCCCACAAAATCTAGTGGTCCAATAAGCTTTTAAATTTTCTTATAATTTTAAAAAAATTATCAATCAAAGAAAACGCAAATATTCAAAAGAAAAAAGTAATTTTTGGAGCGAAGCTTCG